GCATTTCAAAGAAAACAGACTTAAAAATCATACAAAATTTTTTCTTTTCCTTATGACTCTTATAACAGAAATTCACTTAAATATTTGATTTTTGGCAATTTAATTAATTGAGCTGTCCCTATGTACCCTGAGTTTTCAAATTTTTGGGGTAAATAGAAACAGCTTGCTATTTTTAATCAAATTAACAAAAATAAAAAATGCAAGTGAATTTCTGTTATGGGAGTCATAAGGAATAAGAAAACATTTTTGTATGATTTTTAAGTCTATTTTTTCAAATGCGAGATAAAATACTGAAACAAAAAAAAAATAAAAAAAATTCAATTGGTTCAACTATTATATATCTACTACAAATTTTTTTAAGTTTTTTCATATCTTAATATAATATATACTTAAGGAAACTTTTTTCTTAAACCTTTCTTTAAAACTATGCCTCATTTACCCCAAATTTTAGGAAATTTTCTAAATCTTGTGGTAAATGGGGACAGTCAGTTTCATGTGTTTGAAGCTTATCTAAATTTTTTTCTGCTGCATAAAATTAATCCTGGGAATGTAAATAACAACTTAAAAAAGTAAACATGCAAATATTAGCTTTTAAAGGAAGAAACTTACGTAATTTATGAAAAATAGGGATTTTGTCCCCATTTATCCCAACTGATCCTATATCGGTAATTTTAAATAAATTTTCTGTAACATTTTTTAGATTGCTTTAAAGAATATTATTATTCTTTTACATTATATTTTGTTTCTTAGAATATAATCGAATGTAGTTTTGTAATTAATTTTGTAAAATACTTATGTACACAATCTTAATTATGATTCTTTTAGACATAAGTATTAAAAATTAATTTCCTATCATTTCTAAGTAATAAAGCAAGATATTTTATTAAATCAAAATAATTCTTTTTAGTTGCCAAAACTTCTTTATTTTACTACGTCTAATAATATTTTTAAGATGTAAATTGTATGTTGGTTAATAAAATTTTGTTCCTAAATAATAAATATGAATGTAATCAAATAAAGTATAAAAGACCCCGCACAAGAAGGGGAAAAAAAGCCTAAGTCAATTTTTTTTGTACTTTGCAGTTTTGTAGCTTATAATCCCCTAAACACAAAAATGTTAATGGAAAAACACACAAAAACCAATAGTTTTTGAGCTACATCACATTTAGTCTTAAAAACTGGTCTCAAGTCTTAACTGTGGGTTGAAGCCTGATTGTGGATCACGGCTTGATTAGGGCTCAAGGTTTGATCGTGGATTGAGTATTGATTCAAACTCTTTATCATGGATAAAGAGATGATCATGACTCAGAGGTTGATTCGGCTTCTGAATTATGGCTTAAGGCTTGATTCTGACTCTGAATCATGGCTCCAGGATTGACCATAGCTCGAGTCTATCCACACAGCACATTATATTTTCTAAAAATTTAATGAACATTTCCTTGAAAGATTTAAAATATTTCAATGCAAGATGCATGAAATATTGATGAAAACAGGAAAGAATTTAAAAGATTTTTTTCATAATATGTAACTGTTTCATTGTTGCATTATACAAACATTCAAAATATTGAGTTCAAAGAAAATAGAATTACAAGTTCCAGAAAGCATTTAATTTTTATCACATTCAAAGGAATTCCATGTCAAAATTTAAGAAATTGCAGATAAAAAAGTTAAGTAGCAAATATTTAATAGATTAAAATTTTAAAAATTAGAAGAATGTTGTTAGTTCTGGTTCTTTTTTTGTAAAATAAATCTGTGTATAAAAATGGTTATTGTAATAGATGTGCACAAGTGACCACCTAATTTTTCATTGTAATTACACATTTGACGTTTTAATGAATACAAACCGTCATTAAATTTAATTTACAGTTATTTTTAATGCATTTGAAAGATGTTTGGCTCCAATGTTATATAAAATAAGATAATGTTGCAAAAGTCAAGAAACAGTATAATAAAACGGAATTAAATGCTTAAAAAGTTTCATTTTTACCATTTTCATTAAATAATATTTCAATTAAATAAATAATTATTCAATGAATATTTAAATTATATGATATTTAATGAAATTTGAGAAGTTTTAAGATGATTTTTTCAAAGTAAATCACTCCCTGTCTATAAAAAAAGATGGGAAAAAACTTTGTAAAAAACGTCCAGAAAAATTTTCTATGGCAGCCCACACAGCACAGTATATTGCTGTAAACTTACCTCAAGCTTACATGTAATTTTTGTAAGCTAACCCTATAAGCTTCAGGTAAGGTCGAGGTAATATAAAAATGTCCGACATACAGTAAGCTTACACAGTAAGGCCATAGTAAACTAACATGGCAAAGTCACTGTAAGGTTACAGTAAGCTTACACGGCAAGTTTTCAAAGGTATCAATAAATAATTTTTTTTAAATATTTATGCGCAGTAGCTTTCTATGGCACTTACGAATGCGTAGTAAATTTTTTTAAGCAAACCCTACCGGGGTTTTTTATATAAATGACAAAATAAATATAATTGTGAAAAACAATTTATTGTTTACTGTAAGTTGATAAATTAATACTTTGTTATTTGTTAGCAATTAATATAAGCTTACCGTGTAAGCTTACTGTAACCTTACAATGATCTTACCGTGGATTCGTTCTGCGTGGATTTTTGAAAAACAGACAAAAAATTAAAGTGCAATATCCTCGTGGAATTCTCGAGGATTTTTCAAAAACAGATAAAAAATTTAAAGTTCAAAGTCCTCGTGGATTCCCTGAGAATTTTTGAAACTCAGAAAAAAAATTAAAGTACTAAGTCTTCATGGATTCCCTGAGGATTTATGGAACTTAGACAAAAAATTAAAGTACTAAGTCCTTGTGGATTCCGCGAGGATTTTAGAAAAAAAGAAAAAAATTAAAGTGCAATATCCTCGTGGAATCCTCGTGGATTTTTGAAAAAAGAAAAAAAAATTAAAGTACTAAGTCTTCATGGATTCCCTGAGGATTTATGGAACTTAGACAAAAAATTAAAGTACTAAGTCCTTGTGGATTCCGCGAGGATTTTAGAAAAAAAGAAAAAAATTAAAGTGCAATATCCTCGTGGAATCCTCGTGGATTTTTGAAAAAAGAAAAAAAATTAAAGTACTAAGTCTTCATGGATTCCCTGAGGATTTATGGAACTTAGACAAAAAATTAAAGTACTAAGTCCTTGTGGATTCCGCGAGGATTTTAGAAAAAAAGAAAAAATTAAAGTGCAGTATCCTCGTGGAATCCTCGTGGATTTTTGAAAAAAAGAAAAAAAAATTAAAGTACTAAGTCTTCATGGATTCCCTGAGGATTTATGGAACTTAGACAAAAAATTAATGTACTAAGTCCTTGTGGATTCCGCGAGGATTTTAGAAAAAAAGAAAAAAAATTAAAGTGCAACATCCTCGTGGAATCCTCGTGGATTTTTGAAAAGCATACAAAAAAATTAAAGTACTAAGTCCTTGTGGATTGCGCGTGGAATTTTGAAAGAAAAAAAATTAAAGTGCTATATCCTCATGTATTTCGCGTGGATTTTTGAAATACAGACAAAAAAAGAGGACAAAATCCTCTTGGATTATCTGAGGATTATTGAAATACAAAAAAAGAAAATTATAAAATCCTTATGGAAATCATAAAAAAGTTAAAAAAAATTTTTGCATTATATAATTTTACGAAAAATATGATAAGGAAAAAAATTCCACAAATGGTAATGTTACAATTGTTTGAAAATTAAAAAAAAATTTGAGGAATTGTCGAGGATTCCTCGTTTATTCCCTGCCCAAATTAACTCGCGGAATCCTCGTGTAAGTACGCGAGGATTCCACATGAATTACACGCGGATTTCCTCGCGGATTTTTTTGATAGGGAGAAAATATATTGTTTAAATAAGAGAATAATAAAGTATAAAAAAATGAAGTATTAGAAAAATAATATGAACAAAAGAATCTCTACAATGCAAATAAAATACTAAACTCTAGAAAACATTACTATAAAAAAACTAGCTGTTCCAGTGGAGCGTTCGCTGAGGCTCCGATCACGCTCGTCATTAATCCACAATAAATTGGATTCAAATATTAACACGTTTGCGATGATGTTGGTCACGAAGGCGAATATTACTTTCACGTGGGGTACTTTCTAGAATTTACCCCCTAGACGACGGTACGGACGGATACTAGAGTCGTGCACGCGAGGTCGATTATTATTCGTAATCGGGGAGAAGCTAGATATTGGATTCGATTCCAATATTCATTCCCGACGCGAAGCTAGTGCAAAGTAATATTCACTACGTGTCTCCTCCACCCGAGGGGCGCTCGAGATGGGGAATCGACCAAGTGCATGATCTTTGTCAAGAGAGGAGCGCCTCAACTCGACAAGGACTGTCCTGGTAGATGTGTGGGTAACCTGATTCACCAGTCTTCCACGGGAGCGCCCATAAGAAGTCCGGTTCACCAGGTGGAAGGAGGGCGAAAGGTGTTACTGTTCCGCAGGAGCGCCTACAAGAACAAGTAAAGCTCCTTCTAGGAAGTGAGGAAAGCTCTGCACATCTACTGACCACCAGGTAGCCAGGAGTAAGTCGCTTCCACTTGGTCAGAGAGGCACCTCTAGACGAGTCGGAAGAAGACTGAGGAAGAAGGTGCGAGACGAAAGGTATATCACTTGCAGCTGGGTGACCGCGAGTGGTGGGGAAGAGAGTAACACTACTACTTACGCTGTCTACTTTCTCTCTTTTCGCCGGGCGACTATACTACGATACTCTATCGCTACAAAGTGTTTAAGCAAAAAAATTTGAGGTCCTGAGTTAAAACATCTAAAAATGCTAACTTGACTGGTCTATTCCAAATTCCGCTAATTAAATCTTTTACGCAATTAGTTAAGCATCTCAATAACACTGAAACTAATTTTTTACTTTATTAGATTTTAATTCTAAACTGTCATTCTTCACTTTGCGGATAATATGTAAGAACTAAAAACATCTTAAAAAATTTGTTGCTAATAAAAATAGAAATGTATTTGTAGGAATTTATGTATTCGTTTTTTATTTTATTTTTTTACACAATAATAATAATATTAATTTATATTAATTTCATAAGTTACTTAAGCCAATTATAATAAATTAATTGAAGATTCTACTTTAAATCAATATTTCATCTCAAAGTGGAACAAATATTATTTCATTCAACTAATATTCTTTAGCGTTAAAAATATTTTTATGATCCTCGATTATTTCTTTGGACAAGTAGTAGTTTATTCAGGTTTTACTTATTTTGTGTCGTAAGTTCTACGATTTTTTCTTCTTTTTCAAGTTTTGAAATTTTAATAGATTCGTCAAACGAATCTTTGTGTTTTTTTGTTTCAGTTGATACTTTTTCATTATTTCCTATATTAGAAGGTATATGTCCATTCAAAGATTCTTCCTCTATAACTTCAATTCCATCAACTTGAGAAGATTGTTGTGCAGGTTTAATAGTAGGGTTTACAATATAACTACAATCATCTTGTCTCGTCTTCACAAAAAATGTTTTGGAGATCTTATATTTATCGAAGACAGCATAAGCCTGAAAACATAAATGTACATAGAAGTGTTAGAAATTTGTTCTTTAATTAATATGATTAATGTAATTTTTTGGTTTCTTGTAAACAAAATAGTCTGGAGCTTTTAAATCTATGGATGGAAATTCAAAAAAACTAATTTTATTAATAATAACAATAAATAAATAGGGGAAATGGTGTCAAGACGGGGGAGGACACGATGGAACATGGAGTTTATTTTATCATTAAAAATGTATAAATGTAAATACAAGCGTTGAATAGTTTTGTATAAATGTTTCATTATTCTTACACACGAAAAAAATAGTTCGCGAAACTTTTGTAAACTAGTTTTTCACTTTTGAACGATCCCAAAGTTTAGAAATCTTTCATTAACTTTTTTCAAGATTTCACGAACGTTCATCACTCTCTTCATGACAATCAATGTTTGCGCACGCGCACAAAAAAAGTTAATGAAAGATCTCGAACTATTTTTTTCCATGTAGAAAAGTAAAAAATTATAAAAGAAGGATAACCAATAGTTATATTTAACTAGCGATATATTCCTCGCTCCCTAGCGCTCTCTCGGTTGAACTTGTACTTTTTGTTCTTTACGTATTGTAGTTTATTTATACGTAATATTTTTTTTTCTGTTTTAAATTATTATTTCATTATTATTTTATAGAACAAAATCTCGATTTTGATAATTCTTATTGATGGATAAAATAACAATTGATATCAAATACTAATTCATAAAAATGTGTATTGAAATTATCGCTTCTAACGAACAAACAGAATTGAGTTATTCTCGATTATTGGAAGTGAGAAATGAAACACCAAATTATTATTATAACAAAAGTAGTAATAACACAGGTCTATAAGGTATTTTTTTTGAAATATCAAAGTGGTTTCCAATGTATTTTTGTAGGATAAACACGTTCCCGGGTTTCAAAATTGCGTATCACTTCAGGATTTTGAGTAAAGTGGGAGTAAAGTCTCCAAAAACCGTGTCTTTGAGGGTTTTCAGTATTTTTTTCTCCTTAACCTGACGTGATAGACACTTCTATATAGGCTTAAATTAAAGCTTATATCTTACACTTTAAGACTCAAATGCTCAAGATAAAAAAAAATTTTCATTTCGAAAAAAAATTAGGTTTAAATCACCCAAAAAGATTATTGGGGTCATTACCTCCATTTTTTCAAAATTAAAAAAAAAATTTATTATGCGCATATGGGACTTAAAATGTACGTTTTTAACTCTAATTTAAGCCTACATAAAGGTCTCTATCACGTTTGGTTAAGGAGAAAAAAATACTGGAAACCATAAAACATACATTTTTGGGGGTCTTTACCCAAATTTTTTTTTTAAAACAAAAAAAGATGATTGATGAATTACATAATTAAAAATAAGTTAATAAAAAAGGACCGTAAAATATAAATGGTTAAAAAGTTTGAAAATTTAATTTAAGAATACATAAAATATGAATTATGAAGAAATGTTAAGTATTAAGGTGCGTAATAATAAATTTGAGATATTCTACTTTTAACAACAAAAATGGAAACACAAAAAATTAATAATTTGTTATTTATTAATTATTAAATAAACAATATTAATTAAAAATCATCGTTTTCAACCTATTAGAACAATTTTAAGACTTTTTATTTAATGTTTTTTATCAGCGACATAGTACTAATTCGGTGTGTATGACAGTCTACTTCCAGTACTGGTTTTAATATTTTTTTACCTCCGACATAGTACTGATTCGGTGTATAAGTCAGTGCACTGTCAGTATTGAAAGTCAATACCGAGGTCAGCATTGGATCAGTACCATACTTGTGTTTAATTCCGGCGAGCTACGGACATTTCTACTTGTGATGTGATTGCTTTTGACAAAAAGTTAGGAAAAATAACTTGCTTAATTACCTTTTGAAGAACATCTCCTGGTGCAAATGGTTTTCTAGTCATAATCCATGCACTTTGTGCATTAAATGGTCCAAAACCATTACAATTCCATAGAACAGCGTAACTTTTATAATCAGTTTCTAAGATTGAATATTTGTATTCAGGTGTTAATGGTATTCCAGTATACTTTATATGTAGTTTTCCTTCCTCAGCTTTAATTGTTGGTGGTTTAATTTCTCCATCCCAAACTCTTTTAATTCCAGTTCTAAAAAATAAACATAATAATTAAAAACACTCTTTATCTATAATAATTTTGTAGTGTACAAGCGAGCATTAACAAAGAGAAGAATACAGTGAAAGAAATATATTATTTAAAAAAAAGTGTTTTAATATTTTATAGCGTACATATAGTTTGCCAATTAACATATCGAATTGTACAAATCTACAGTGAAAGGTACATATTTATCATTACATTTATCCATGAACGTGCATGGAGAAATAAGAAGAACATATGGGTGTACTTCCGAATAAAGGGGACCACCGATTTTAATAAAACTTGGTATTCTAACGTATTTTGATGCGCTGCTTATAAAAATGATAGTGAAAATTGCCTCCTCCCGCCAAGGTTTTTTAAACATGCAAAGGGATAGAAGTCTAAGCGGCCCAAGGCCGCGTACTTTGTATCGCGTTTTTTTAAACGCTAACGAGAAAAACCGTACATGGCCGAAGGCTGCGTACATCGTGATATATTATTATGTATTAATTAAAACACCCAATATTTTTACTAGCATTAAGGAATAACACCACTCTAGAGGCAGAAAAAAAGACCTATCTGTGATAATGTATTTTGGGAAAATGAAAAAAGGAATAGGATTTCTTTTTAATGTGCTTATTAACTACATATTGAAGTGTAAAAAAATTTTTACTTGAAATTTTACTACACAATGGCGGCGATAGTTGCCATATATTAGATCGACTACTTATTTTTCAGACCAAAACCGGCGGAAAGGTTTCATGAGCAGTTTAAGACCTGGAATAAAAAACCAAGAAAAATGTACTAAAAAGTTGTGACATTTCAATAAAAATTGATATAAAAAAACCATATGTACATCCAAAGCTAATACTTAGGGGAGGATGGGGCATGAATAGTTAGATAAGACGTTTCCGAATCTAGCGACCAAACCTTAATTTGTATCTACAAACGAGTAGTACCTTTGGAAAGCCTGGTTATTTGGCTATAATTTTGCTATACATTATTTTGCTGTAGACTGCTATCCCTACGAGATACGAATGAAAAAGTAAAAAAAATTTTAACTATTCTTGCCCAGTACCGGGGCAAGGATAGTTAAAAAAATCCTGTTGCTCAAAATGTCATAGAAAATCAGTAAATTTTCGTTTTCTTTTTTTTATTGGATTTAGACTATTCAATATTGATATATCAAGTATTAATAACATGTTTTGAACATTTTCTAAATATCAATTATTGCATTAAAATTCGTCTGAACTAGAATCTGAGGTTTAACCAATTTTTTTCAGATGATCAATTTCTTGGTCAATAAGCTTCGTTTTTCGTATATAATTACGCACCAGTATGTATATCAACCTAAAAAGAACAATTAAACATTTTTGGTTCCTCGTGGAGGAAGCTTTGTAGTCCTTTCGTTTATAAAATTTTTAAAAATGGTAAAAACAAATTTTCCTCTATATAGAAACATGTTATATGAGATCCTGATCAATTGTCCGGATGTATGTATGTGTGTGTGGATCGTTTTTGTGAACACGGTATCTTTAACAGGTTTTAATCGATATGTATATATAAAGTATATGTTACACCCAAAATTAATTAAAATTTTTTTAATTTTTAAAAAAATTTAATTAATTTAAAACAGTTTTCAACTCAAAATTTTTTAAATCAATCAATCGAATTTGAGAAATTCATAGCTTCCTCCACGAGGAAGCAAATTTTTTGCTTCACACAATGAGGAAGCAAAATGTTTATGAAATAAACATAAAGGACCCCCTCCTTTTTTTTGTATTAATTTTATAGAGGAGTGTTTAGCCAACGAGATGTAAAGCGCGAAATCTGTAGAGAAATTAATAGTACAATTTCCCAAAATTGTTATTAACCTGTGTTTTTGCCATTAAATTATTGTAAATTTAATAAATTTGTAACTTATACTTAATTAAAATTGAAGTTTTAATCAAAATTTAATTTTACTTAGACATTTAAATAATTTTTAAATATTTTAATAACATTTTCAATTTAAAATAAATTTTATAACTCAATATTTTTTGTTTAAATTTATTTTTTCCATTATTTTATTATTATTTAATTAAATATTAAATTTATAATGCTGCTTCAAAATTATATCAGGTGAAATTCATAATATGACATTGTAATTTTCAAATCCGTATAACTATGACAAAAGTTAATGGATTTTAATTTACCTATAATGAATTTTAATGCATTTTTCACGTACTTTTCAAAACTGTATACGAAATTAAAAAAAAAATTTTTTGACCCCTTTTTTTTAAAATCAACCCTTATTTTTCAATTTTCACCCCTTCGGGTATTTTTTTTTTATTTTCATTGGAAAGCTGAGGTTTTTTCCCATGAGCTATGTAAATATGAAAGTGGGACAACAATAATTTTGTGAGAAACATAATATTAAATTATGCGGTGCCTACCTAAATCCTCGAAGATGATCTCCAGGTATACCCGTTCTCGGCACCGCCTACATTAATATTCTGTTTCTCACAAAATTATTGTTGTCCTACTTTAATATAAACATAGCTCATGGGAAAAAACCTCAGCTTTCCAATGAAAATAAAAAAATAAATAAATAAATACCCGGAGGGGTGAAAATTGAAAAATAAGGGTTGATTTTGAAAAAAAGGGGTCAAAAATGTTTTTTTAAATTTCGTATACATGTTTGAAAAGTACGTGAAAAATGCATTAACATTCATTATAGATAAATTAAAATGCATTAACTTTTGTCATAGTTATACGGATTTGAAAATGACAATGTTACCCTTAACGTCAAAACTTCAACCCCCTCTACTTTCTACAAATATTTTTTTAATGAGTTTATATTTTAGGGATTTGTTACTATCATATAGGACAACAATTTACCAAAGTATGAAGCCAATCCCAGAACATTGACTTTTTGGGCTGGGTCGATTGAAAAAGAATCTCTCATATATATTTTTTTAAATTTTTATTAAAAATAAATAAAAGTTTTTTTTTATATATATGAGGCAAAATTCCTGAAATGTCCGAACAAAAAATTAAAAGTTCTCGAATTTAATCCATACTTTTCTAAAATGTTGTTATTGTTGGTGAAAGTCTAAAAATCAATTATTATTGAATTTAATAAAATAGTTTTTAAATTACAACGTTTTTAATTTTTGACTTTTGAAAAAAAAAATTTTTTTCAATGTACAATATTTATAAGTAGAATGCATAAAAGTTAACATATATATAATGATTTTTAAAGCTTTTTTGACGAGCTACACGCTGTTAATAAAAATTTTTTTTTTTAAATAACATTTGACCTTGAAATTCAAGGTCAAAATGTTAATTTACATTTATCTCAAAATCGGATTTTTTAAAATTATTTTTAACTATCTCAATGGAAAGCTTGACTAATTTCCTACAAAACATGTAATTTTCAGAGTGGGATCTTTTAAAGTTTTTGAGATATTAATTAATTAATTAATTAATGTTCATAACAAATGAAATATTTTACAAACGAATAAAGTTACCGTAATTCTGAAGTTAATAATTGAAAGTTAACGTAATTCCGCATCCAACGAGCCCTATATGAAGTATTTTGGATAAGTAGATTGTTAATAAACAATTAGTTAACATTGCAATTGTTTATTAACAATCTACTTATCCAAAATACTTCATATAGGGCTCGTTGGATGCGGAATTAGCTTAACTTTCAACTGGTAAGTTTAGATTTACGATAACTTTATTTGTTTGTAAGATATTTCATTTTTTATTGTTATTTAACTAAAATTGAACAAAAATACTTCATATAGGGCTTTTGGATGCTTCTTGTTAGTAAAAAATAAAATATTTTACAAACAAATAAAGTTATGGTAATTCTGAACTTACCAATTGAAAGTTAAGCTAATTCCGCATCCAACGAGCCCTATATGAAGTATTTTGGATAAGTAGATTGTTAATAAACAATTGCAATGTTAACTAATTGTTTATTAACAATCTACTTATCCAAAATACTTCATATAGGGCTCGTTGGATGCGGAATTACGTTAACTTTCAATTACTAACTTCAGAATTACGGTAACTTTATTCGTTTGTAAAATATTTCATTTGTTATAAACATTAATTAATTAATTAATTAATATCTCAAAAACTTTAAAAGATCCCACTCTGAAAATTACATGTTTTGTAGGAAATTAGTCAAGCTTTCCATTGAGATAGTTAAAAATAATTTTAAAAAATCCGATTTTGAGATAAATGTAAATTAACATTTTGACCTTGAATTTCAAGGTCAAATGTTATTTAAAAAAAAAATTTTATTAACAGCGTGTAGCTCGTCAAAAAAGCTTTAAAAATCATTATATATATGTTAACTTTTATGCATTCTACTTATAAATATTGTACATTGAAAAAAAATTTTTTTTTCAAAAGTCAAAAATTAAAAACGTTGTAATTTAAAAACTATTTTATTAAATTCAATAATAATTGATTTTTAGACTTTTACCAACAATAACAACATTTTAGAAAAGTATGGATTAAATTCGAGAACTTTTAATTTTTTGTTCGGACATTTCAGGAATTTTGCCTCATATGTATATTATTTAAAAAAGGAGACAAATTTTTTTAAAAAATATTTTTTATATTGAAGGTGAAAAGGTCAAGACAGTATATTTTGTACATCCTTTTTATAATTTGCAGTCGCATTAGGAGGATTTTATCGAGCCGAAATAGCTCTAACTATGCTTGCTCCATGAGCCCATATTTCAGTTTTTTCTAAATTTTAAGGAACGACGTGAAAATTCCACTCCGGAAAACACATACGTAAAAAAATATTCGCAAGCACTAATATGGAAAACAATATGATGAACACTACGTTGACATTTTAGCAAAACAGACTTTTTACAAAAATAAACTCCTGACTTCGCAAATGGTGGCAGATTGACTTCCAATATTTCCTATCATCTATTGGTGTAAAGATGCAAATATACCATGAAGGACGCGATTTTTGAGCAAGCCGTCTAAGCATAACAGCA